CGGGCCCATTCATCCGCAGCCGGAGCCGCGAGCCGCGAGCCGCCGCCCGGCGTGGCGTCCTCCCTGGCCCGGGTCCCTCCCTCTGGGAGGCGACGATTTGGGGACAAAGATGGTTACTATCTAGAATAAGGTCCTCATCCCGTGTACGGAGTAAAAACAATGCCTCGGTGGATTGAGAGGCCAATTTCAAACTTGATCCCAGATTCTCTGGGTTGAGGCAGGTTTAAAGGGGCAGGCAGAGTAGAAACCGCCAGCTCCGCCTCTCAAAACCCAAAGCCTTCGGCAACTTAGTGACTTCGCCTACTCCGAGCTTTTGTGGGGACAAGAAAACATGAAAGTACATTCCAGAGTTCCTGCGCGCAGGAAATAGTTAAGAGCGTTGTGTAAATTCTAAAACGGTACAGAAATAAAACTGTAAGCCAGAGGTAACTTAGGAGTATAACTATGTTCAACGACCTTGCCAGATCACGAGGAAAACCAAAGGCAGCGGACGACATCCCCGTGTCATCGGGAGGATTCGCTCTCAGTCCCTTTGGCCACGACAGGTACACGGTACCGTCCACCCAGCTCGCCTCCTCGGTCACCCCAGCACCTACTGCTAGAGCTCCTTTCCCAGGCTTTTGCCAGTGTAGTTTGCCATCTGTCTGCCTTTCTGCGGGGGGAGGGGGGGCCTGAACCCCCCACGGGGCTGAGAGTCTTTTGATGGAGCATAGCCTCGGGTGGTGACTTCTGGAGCCAGACCGTCTGGACCGGATTTCTAGTTCCGCTGTCTATGTGACCTGAAGCGACTTAATTTCTTGGCATCTTAATCTATTCAACTGTAAGCATGAGGAAGGATTAGTTACCTACTTTCACGGAGTTGTCACAGTAAGTAAATGAGTTAATAAGTATATACATTTTGGCCGATATTTATTTATTTAGTCCACAGGAGAAAGACAAAGACAATGTACCCCAAGAAGGGTCCCCACACTGCAGTGCACGCCCAGCTCCAGCCAACCCCATACACCCCAAATACACACACACACACACACACACACACACACACACAGGCCCACGAAATACTCAGTCCTTACAGGAACTCGCCACCTTCTCCTGTGGGTCTCCCCCACACAGCGGCTGTGTTTGACATATGCCACCACTCTGTCCCGTAAGTGTGTAAGTCTATGTCCCACCCAGAGCAAGTGCCCTTGTAAGTATTATGGTTGTCACTATGGTACACCGCTGAGAGTAACCTAGGAGCGCGAATACTTCCACAGAAGACATATTTAGAGGAGCGCATCTACATACTATCCTCAAGAGAAAGGAGATGAGAGGTCTCTGAGACCAAAAAAAAAAAATTCTGTTCACTTCCACTCTGGTACTCAGCCTCCTAGGACATAGGTATATTCAACCCAAAGACCAAGAATAGAAGCAGTTTGTGGCCAAGGGCAGCTTGATCAGAGAAAATCTGGCCGAAAGGCACATAAGGAAACTGACGCAGGAAGAAAGATGTATACAGGATCAGTAATGCCTAGCCTCTTCCATTAGTCTAGTCCATGTTAAGGAACGCTGTTCATGATAACCATGTGACCCTCAGAAAAAGCGGGTTATACCGGGGAAAATATGGATAGCGAACCTTAGACTATCAATCCACTTGCCACTTGCCCTTAAAAAAATAATTCATCAGGACCAGCAGGTGGCATGGTGGCTAAGGTGCTGGACACTCCCACATGGCCAACTATGGTTCGAGTCCCGGGCCTGGTGGCTTGCTTTCTTAGTTTCCCTCTCTCTCTCTCTCTCTATCTCTCTCTGTGTCTTTCTCTGCTCAAATTAAGAATGAATAAATAAAATTTTAAAAAATCATTCATGGTTCTTCACCTAATTGTCATACACATCCTAAGATGTTCATAAATTTACAATATTATATTCCTCATATGATAATAGAGGTAAAAAGCAAAGACAAAACTCGAGTCTTTTTTTTAGAATTATGTAATTTTTTTATTATCATTATTATTCCTTAATTTGCCCAGAGAAAGCGAGAGAGAGACACAGAGAGAGGGAATGTGAGAAAGCAAGCCACCAGATCCAGGACTCGAACCGTGGCTGGCTATGTGGGAGTCCAGCACCTCCACCACCATGCCACCTGCTGGCCCCAAGTCATTTTTTTTTTTATTTTAAAGAATTACTTATTGAATGTTATTCATTATCATTATTTAAAATTTGACCAGAGAGAGACTGAGGTGAGGGTGTGAGAAAACAAGCCGCCAGGTCCAGGACTCCAACTGCTATCAGCCATGTGGGAGTCCACCACCTTAACCATCATGCCACATATCTTTGAAAACTAAAACAATGATACGGCTTGTTTTGTTTGTTCTGTTTTGTTTTGTTTAGAGATATTTTTGCTATAGATAGCGTATGCTTGTTGGAGAGATAGAAAGCAAGAAATCACCCTCCGGGGGGATGGCCACACAGCAATCCCTTCTCTTCCATTCTCCTCTTGGAATTTTATGCATGCACATGTGCCCAATGTAAGTTTCAAGCTGCTAGGTCTGGGACTCGAACTGTAGTCAGCCATATGGGAGTTCAGCCACGTAGCCATTATGCTGTCTGCTCATCCCGATATGGTTTAAACAGATTATTATTACCATTTTATT